ATAAAAGACAAATCATAATTCATAAAACAATGTCAGGTTCACTAAAGATAAAAAATGAACACATTTTCAAGAATAATAGGAAAACAATCTACGCAAAAACATTCGATGAAGAAACTATAATTACGTTACTAAAAAATCATTTTGATCCGGAAAAGACCAATGCTGTTTTTATAAATGACGAATCTGTTTTTAATGAACTAGAAAAAGTCTATGATAAATACTTTGGAGAAAACCAAAATTTTAAGGTATTACGTTGTAAATTTCTCCTTAAGGACATTATAGATGAAAATGAATTGACAGAAATAATAGAGAAAGAACATCTAAAAAACAATCATAGAGGAATTAACGAAAATTTTGCGGAACTAAAAGTCGAGGTATACCATCCACAATTAAAGTTACGTATAACACAATTTATTAACAATTGTGATATATGTAACAAAGAAAAATATGAAAGAAACCCTGTTAAACACCAATACAAAATTACTGAAACACCTGACGAACCGGGAGAAATCATCCATGCAGACGTCTTTTATAGTCTAGAAAAAACTCTATTTCTAACATTTCTAGATAAATTCTCAAAACATGCTCAGGCTATAAGAATAAAAGATCGATCCTGGATCGAATTTAAAAAAGCGTTAACGCAATATCTCTCGACCGTTGGAAGCATAAAAAAATTGATTATGGACAACGAATTAGGGTTCAAAGCACTGCCCCTTCGTGAATTTTTAAGAGAACAGGAAATCAATATACACTATACCTCAAACAATAATCATACCTCTAATGCGGATGTCGAAAGACTCCACAACACAATAAACGAACACATCAACATGACCCTTACAAAGACACTGAAAGCGTCGAAGAAAAAATGTATAGAATAATAATGTATTATAACAACACTATACATTCTACAACTGACAAAAAACCAATAGATTTCAAAAATGGAAAAATAGGTCAGGATGAGTACCCCTTAATTAAAGAAAAAATAATAAAGACAAAAGAAAGGACCATAAATAAATTAAACGAAACGCGTGAGAATGTAGAAATCCAGACAGGACCAATATATCTAAAAGACGAAAGAGGCGGAAAAAATCATTCAAAATTCCGGAAAGTGACAGTAACTGAATTAGATGGCGATCATGTAATAACAGATCGAAACCATAAATATTATAAGTCCCATATAAAAAGGAAAAAGAAATTCCAAAATATCAATGACAATTCAGGGTAAACATTATCTAACTACCGATATTATTCTTTTTAGATGGAATTTAAAATCATTTTTCTACTACTCACTTCAATGGTGTACAATATCCAAAGCCAACTAATGGAAATACAAGACCTAAAGGACAACGAAGGATATCTACCAATTAAAGACGGCGACATAAATATAATTGATAATTACCGTAGAATATATCACTTCATTAATTTAACACATTATCATAACACTATTGAAATTATAGACACAAATATTAATTCGTTACACGGCTCAATATCAGAATTAATTCCATTACTTGATACGACAATAAATAATTTTAATCTTTTGAAAATTAAATTGGACAACCTATCACCAAATTTTAGAATCAGAAGAGGTTTAATAAATGGCTTGGGTAAAGGACTGAAATTTATTACGGGAAATATGGACAGTGATGACGAGCAAGAAATCAGATCATACCTTACAAATCTAACGACAATTACTAACTCTAATTCAAATGAAATAGGAAACATGGCACGAATAAGTAACATACTTTCGATGCAGATTCAAAATGTAACTGACCATATTAATAGACAACAACATATAGTTAAAAAATATATCAATAAATTTCGCAACGAAATTGAAAATAAGATAACTTCATTAGAGGATGAAGTATGTTTTCTAAGACATATTTATCAGATTGACAATGATATAAGCTTACTTAAGAATCACATTGATGACATCGCCGGAGTAATATTTACTAGTAAATTAGGCATAATACCAACAGACCTACTTGACGAACAAGAAATTGAAATAATAGATGACTTTGAAAAATATACAAGGACAAAAGTTGCCGTTTCCGTTCAAAAAGACCAAATTATTATCATCCTCTCCATACCCCAATTTTCCCATTTATCCTTTACACAAATAATCCTTGAGCCAATACCTAACAAAATGAAAAGAAATAAAAGAATTAAAAGAAGGAGTTATTATATTTAAAAATTTTATTAACAATTTTACAAGCACTTGTAATTGTGAAAAAGAATGTATTAATATAAGTCAAAATTTTATAATTAAATTCGAGAATTGTATAATTAATGTCGGTAATTTAACTTTCAAGAATGAAAAATTAATTGTTAAAGAAAAAATAATACAAACTTCTCTCCTAAAACAAGTAAAAGAAAATGGAACATATAATGAATTAAATTTGGAAGATCTATATATAAAACAAATAAAGTACGAAGATGATTTTAGCAAAACTCAACAGATAAATAGAATATATAATATAGCATCAAATAGCACTACATTATTAATTTTAATAATCTTATTAATTGTAATACCTATATTTTGCAAAAGAAAGGCAACCATTCTCCAAATTTCGTCGGAGCCTCAATCTAACCGAGGGGGAGTTACGATATCACCCCACCGCGTCCTAATTTAAAAAATGGTTACCTTTCATAAATAACACGCGTTTCCTGTTTTGCTTGCACTTGCTTCTTTAGCAATTATATATCACCCGTGTCCTAATTTAAAAAATGATTACTTTCCATAAATAACACACTTTTCATTGCACTTGCTTCTTTAGCATTTTTTTTTAAATTATTAAGAAATATCATATTTGTCAACACGCTTCTGTCGTTGACCTAAAATTTGCAAAATCATTAATTTTCTTTCCAACCGAAATCAATCAATAATTATTTTTCGGGTGCAAAGAAAACAAGAAACGCTTAGCCAACACTTTGTAACTTTTAATATACCAAAATTGTATTATTGTAATTTAGTCAAAGAATTGAACTCGAATAAAGCGGTAGCAGAAGCTACAAAAGAAAAAAAAACAAAAAGAATTTTGTTTTTTTTACGGTTATTATTACCAACACCTTTATTCTTAACATCAGCCCTCAACTTGTCGTTAACCACCCACATAGTTCCTGAAGCCTGGAAAATAGGCAGGGTGGTCCCGCTACTGAAGCCAGGCAAGGATGCCAGCAGGGGTGAATCGTACAGGCCGATTTCACTCCTGTCGCCGGTAGCGAAGACACTTGAGGCGCTACTCCTCCCTTCGTTGAGAAGCAGTTTTCCAGTTGCCCAACACCAACATGAATTCCGTAAGATGCATAGTACAACAAAAGCATTACACGCCATTTCAACACATATTAGCAGAGGACTCAACCAGAACAGGTCGTGCAACCGAACAGTTATGGTGGCACTTGACCTATCGAAAGCCTTCGATACCGTCAACCATGCTAAGCTGTTCGGGGGTATAGAGAGGACAAATCTCCGACCGTGTTTGAAACGTTGGATAATCAACTATATGTGTGGACGCCAGTCGTATGTGGAATTCAGAAACAGGAAGTCTAAACCCCGTAGAGTGAAACAGGGAGTTCCCCAAGGAGGGGTGATATCTCCGGAACTGTTTAACCTCTACCTTTCTGATATTCCACAACCACCGGACGGCATAGAGATCGTAATGTATGCGGATGATTGCACGATCATGGCGTCGGGTCCCATTATTGATGATATGTGAGAGGCTAAACGTCTACATAACTTCTTCCATCTGAGGAATATGAAAATATCCGCCACCAAATCAACAGCCACACTGTTCACCACATGGACGGCTGAAATGAAGCTCCCACTGAACATAATGGTCGATGGAGAATTGATTCCGACCACCAATTACCCCAAGATATTGGGAGTAACGTTCGACAGCCTTTTCAAGTCGTCCGCGCATGCCACTGCTTTATGCGATAAGCTGAGAAGTAGGAACAAGGTCCTCAAGTCGCTAGGCGGCAGCACTTGGGGCGCTGACAAAGAAACCTTGTTGACCACTTATAAAGCAATAGGCCGGTCAGTGGTAAGCTATGCGGCGCCAGTGTGGTTCACGAATGTCAGTGATACGCAGTGGACCTGCCAGAACGCTGCCCTGAGAACTGCAACAGGGTGTCTCCTCATGACTCCAGTAGATCATCTTCATTAGGAGACGAAGATCTTACCCGTCCATCGTCACAACTATATGTTGTCGATGCAGTACCTGCATAGGTATTATATTATATTATTTTATATTATATTAGGAACATCCCTGCCATAGCCTTATGGACAGGACTCCCCCACCCAGGCACGTCAGGAAAGATCTTCATGATCTATAGAGAGAGGTCCAAAGGTACAAGCGTAAACCCCTAGAGCAAGAAGCCTATCAAGCAGGTCTGAATGGTATTTACACGGATGCAGTCGCTCAGGCAGTAGAGCAATATCGAGTGAATACCATAATTGGAGTCCACCCCCATCCATCGCAGCTGAGGAGAAGCAGCTGTCAAGGCAAACACGAGTAGTCATAGCTCAACTAAGATCAGGATGGTACAACCGCCTCAATTATTATTGGGAAAGAATTGCCGGCTCGATACCTAACATATGTCCGTCATGTGGACTAGGACCACACGACACGTTGCACCTCTTCAATTGCCCAGCTAAGCCTACTCACCTATCGCCGAATTCTCTTTGGACGCAACCCGCTGAAGTTGCAGCATTCCTGAATTTGGAGGGAGAAGAGCAGAACCAGACGATGCATGACAAAACGACATGTTTGCTACAACAACATTCTGTGTTACATGTATGTAGTTAAATTGTAATAAAGAGTCAAAAATGTATATTTTTATGCAATGCGACATGGCATGTATGTTGTTAAATTGAAATAAATCGTCAACAATTTCTATTTTATAGAGTGCAACTTAAGTTATTATTGAATCTTAATTCACATTTCAGCTGTCAATATCTGCTATAAAATTCACAAAATATATTTTTATAATTAACAACATACCGTTGTAAAAACTGTTGCTGCTGTAGACCATGAAAGACACGGAACTAACACAAGTGGTTTAGGCCAATTTGTTGCTGCTAATGATGCCATCTGAAAGTAATAACAATACATTTTTGAGTTCCATCAAAAGTTAATAGGCATTTAAATTGTAAATTTTATAATATATATGTGTATTACCGGAGTGTCCGCTACTTCGTATGCGGAAAGAGAATACAAAACAAATAAATAATATTTTATGTGGAAATCGTGAATTATGTATAATTTGTTGTTTTATAATTCCGAAATCCACCTTTATTCCTACATTTAATATCAAGTATATTACTATTCAGTACTCTTCATGACACACATATGCACTAATTTCCGATTTTTTTCTTATTTCCATTATACAGATTCAAAAGTGATCAGAATTCCAATTATATATTCTAGCAAATGCTTACAGGTTCCACAATTTGTTCCATTCAGCACTTTTCGAACACATAAGTATACATTTTCAAGACTACATCCATATATGAATCGTACTTCTAATTTCACAGGGCGTAATTACAGAAGGTATTCTCATTTGCTAAATCAACAATTTTAATTTGTACCTCATATATAAATTTTACATAGTTTGAAAAATTTTTCTACCTAAACTAAAGTATGTCATCTTTTTTTTATAATATACAAATTTAAATTCCTATATTTTATACAATGCTGTTTATTACTAAATATTGAATATGTGATATTAATACACTTACTTGAGTAGTTAGCCACTTGCCAAATATTGAAATATATTATTATTTTTAGAATAATACCTTCTAAGATATCATTAAGAAATCTTGTTAAATGGAGTAGTATAGTTTGCAATTTAAATGAAATCGGCCTTAATGGCTTCAAATTGCATTTTTGGAATAAATAAAATAAAAAAAAATAAAAAAAATAGGGCTCATGTTAATAGGGCTCCAAAAAAATCAACGGGTGTCCGATTGAGATTTGTTTTATTTTTTTGTCCCATTCTGAACAAACCAATCTATATCTGTCCAAATGAAAATATTGGTATAGATTACAGAATGACATGTTTATGAATTGGTCTAAGTCGGTTTACATTTAGATAAAGATCGCATATTTGAATTCATCCAATTTCATGTTAAGGGTTCTTCAAAAATGCGACGTCTGTTAGGATGCATCTGTTGAATATGGTGAAGGGTATCACATAGAACTTGCAGTCAAATGCAGTGTAATAAATATCTAATTTTTTTGATCCACATTGTTCTTAAGCTATATCTACAGATGCTACAACTTATATTTATAGATAATAGAGCTTGTAGGATTCCAGTTCTTCACGTTCACCGAAGTTCAAATGGTACTAAAAGTAATATCTTTCGTACCCAAAACTAACTCAGCCATTCACTCCAATCATAATCTTAAGACCTCATTTAATGATTCCAGCTCTATCCGAACACATATATCCAAATTATATCATATTTAGTGTCATTTAGTACTTTTCGACTTGCCTGCAGACAGCAGCAACACGTAATGCGACGGAGAATTATCGGGAGAAAAGGAGAGAGGAGAAACGTGTTTTCAGAAAAAGAAGAAAGAACAAGAAAAACGTGAGCAAATCGAGATGTACAAGAGTCAGAATAAAGTCCGGAAATTTTAAAAACGAGTAAAACACCAAACCGAAGGCTTTGGTGCAGGCACATCCTCCTGTAGAGATGATGAAGGAAACCTGGTAACAGATACATACAGCGTGCTGAGGATCTGAAGGAGCATTTTGAAAAACTTCTGGTATCAAATAGTAGCGTATAATAGTAAAGAAGATACCCCAGAACCAATATTAGATGACAGTATAGAGTGTAGACAACCCAGCCAAGATGAGGACAGAATAGTAATTAATCAGCTGAAGAATAATGAAGCAGCAGGAGCCGATGGATTACAAGCCGAACTACTCAAGACTGGTAGTCAGATGCTGTAAGGAGGAATGCATGCCCAATGATTGGAACCTCAGCATCCTGTGTCCTATGCACAAAAAAGGAGACAAGACGATATGTGCCATCTATAGATGAAAAAGTCTCCTTCCCATCGCATATAAAGTGCTATCCAGCGTGCTGGATTGTCATCGAAGCCAATGGTCAATGACATTATTGGACCATACCAATGCGGATTCACACCTGGCATATCCACCATTGATCAACGAAAAACACATATTCGTCGACTATAAAGCCGCATTCGACAGCCCTATCCGTTAAGAGGTGTTTAAAGCCATGTCTGCGTTTGGCATTCCAGCAAAATTCGGCTATGCAGGATAACTTTAACTGGCACAAGATCAGCAGTTAAAGTCGAAAAGAACCCTTCGGAGCTATTTAATACTGAAATAGCATTCAGACAAGGTGAGAGTTTTAACATCCTGCTAGAAAAGGTCATACGAGAGGCAAAGGTGAACAGAAATGCCACTGTGTATACCAACACATGAAATCGACATAATGAGTCGAACATTGCGAACGGTAACAGCCAACTTTAAACGAATTGAGAAGGAGTCTGGCAGTAAACGGCGAGAAGACCAAGCTGATGATATCAATGCGCAAGACGTTCAGTAGACTCGGACCAACTGTGAAACTTGAGGACTACAGCTTCGAGGTAGTCAATTATTTTATATAAATTGGCACTGCCATAAATAAAACTAATGACATCACTTTGAAATTCGGAGAAGGATATTGTTAGCCAACAGATGCTACTATGGTCTGCGTAAGCAACTCAAACAAGGCCACCTCTCGCCAGACCAAACTAGCACTCTACAAGATACTAGGCGTGCTGTTATATGGATCTGAAGCATGGGTACTTACGCAAGCAGATGAGGCATCTCTTGGAGTGTTTGAGAGAAAATTTTTCCGAAAGAGCTATGGGCCGATCCGCGTTGGCGGTGAATATCGCCGTGAGTTGTACCAGCTATTCTCGGACATCGGCATTGTTTGACGTATTGAGCTGCAGCGACTACGTTGGCTAGGTCATGTTATGAGAATGGATGAGGATGCCCCAGCCCAAAAGGCATATAAAAGCAAACCAGCTGATGGTTCACGCAGAAGGGGAAGGCCACGAATAGGAAAGATCAAGTGGAAGACAACATTGCCGAATATAATCTTTCAAATTGGAAAAACTGCGCAAAAGACAGACGCGCCTGTAAATCTTATTTAAGCTCGGCTTATGGAACGAAAGTTCTGTCACAAGCCAGCTAAGTAAGTAGTAATTTTCGAACTTATGAATCCGAATTTCCAACACTGTCTCAATCCTGTACTCTAACAGAAATGTTGTTTTCAAATATAAGTTTTCCATCTCTATCTGTTCACTCACATCTAAATTGTAATAAACTAAGTACCATTTAGTACACATAATTACGCATTTTCAACACTACCTCCATGCCTCAATCCTACACTCCAACCTTAATTTCAATTCCGAGTTTTAGGATTCCCGCTCACACAAAACGAATTGTACCATATTTAGTAAAATTTATTGCTTCTCGTATCCATAAGTACGAAATTTCAAGACTACCTTAATCCGTAATTTTCATTCCAAATTTAAGTTTTCCATCTCTATTCGTTCACTCAAATCTAAATTGTACCAAATTTAGTCTCATAATTACGAATTTTCAAAACTACCGACATATCTCAATCTTGCACTCCGACTGTAATTATACCCTACACAACTATGTTGTCAGGCCGCGAAATATTGGTCCTAGACCCACCTTTAAGTATACCGATCGTCATATCTCGACTAGCTGAGTCGATCTAGACATGTGTGTCCGTCCGTCCGTCTGTCCATTATAATTTGTAAACACGATGCAGGCCACAGTTATGGACCAATCTTCACGAAATTTTGCATGTAGAATGGGTTCTGGCCAATGAAGACTCCTATTGTTTTTGGAAAAGATCTGTTAATATTTAGGGGATGAAATGGACCAACAACTTTTTTTTTGTCGGTTTTTCTGGTCGCTCCTGACGCCGCAATTATAGGCCAAAAATTTTTTGCATAGAGAAGGGGATCGGGCCAAAGAATAAGTATGCCTGTTTTGATAAAGATCGGTCAATATTTAGCGGGTCAAATGAACCCTGACTTTTGTGTGAAAATGACAAAATTTGTATTCTATGGCGTATATATTTGCCCCTGAAGGACCAAGGCCCGAGAAGTTTATAGTGTGTTCAAGTGGTTGACTTTTAATTGATACCAATTATATGGTCGTATGTACTCAGATGTGGGAGTTACACTTAAATATTTACAGGTGCTTACGTATTCAGACATTATTTAGTAACCCAATACCACACTAAAGGGCGGAAATATAGCGCTGATCGTTTTAAAATGTTCAATGAGGATCCAGGTATGGTCAGGGATATCGGGTATAATTTTTGGTGATGATCAAATCAAAATTTTGGGATAAGGTGGACCGAAAACTTCAATTTTTATATTTTTTTCGAGACAATCTACAGGCCTAATTATAATCCGAACATCACAACACAAGGGAATCTGGACAAGTAATTGAAGGGTTGTACTCAATATTGGGAATATTCGGTAAATATGTCAGAGTAAGGAAGAGGTGCTGTCGATCTTTAATCGGGCAAGAGGGTGCAATTATCACGAAATATTGCCCACGCTCAGAATAAACGTCGGCAGAATGTTAGAGTTCCGTGGTAGTTATGTAGGGTATCGTATGGTCGGCCCCGTCCGACTATACTGCTCCGCTCACTGATTTTAATTCAAAATTTCAGGGCATCAGCCTTATTCTTTCAAACAGAAACAAATTGTAAAACATTTGGTACCATTTAGTACTAACACTCAACAGTAATTTAAATTCTGGAGTCCAGCTCTATCCGTTCACACATAATCAAGTTGTACCAAATATATTACCATTTAGTACACATAAGTACTATCTTTCCATATCTCTATTCTATATTCCAACAGTAACCATCACCCAAATTAAAGTTATACCAAATCGAGTGCCGACGTACACATAAATACGAATTTCTAAAGATGTCTCTATAACTCAATCTTCAACAGGAATCTTATTTTAAGCTTTCAGGTTTACAGCTCTATCCGTTCAAGCAAAATCCGAATTGTACTAAATTTAGTACCATATTGAACTATTCGTACGAATTTGCAATTTCAAGACTCCAGCTCTATCTGTTCAGCAAAATCCAATTTCTACCAATTTAGTACTATTCGTACACATAAGTACGTTTTTTTAAGCTACCTCAAACCTATACCCCAATTCTAATTCATATAAATATAAATCATTTTAGTATTTTTCGTATCCTTCTAGTTCGAATTTCCTAAAACCCAGCCTTATCTCACGGCTACACATCAACACGCCTACAAATATGTGAAATTAATTTTTAGCACAATTTTGACTTTAAATATTAAAATTAAATCTTAATAAGAAAATTTAAATTTATGATAATATGTTTTATAAATACTTACGTGACCACCCATAGATAAGCCGGTAATTCCAAGCGGGCCGAAACCATTTCTTTCGCACCAATGTAGTAACACAAGACATTCTAATACCAAACAGCCACCCATAACAAATATATCGGAGACATTGTGCAAGTTTGAACGCCTACAAAAGCAACACAGTGTAAAATACAAATTGCTATTAAATTTTATATAATGTATAGTTTTCTTAAAGATAGAAGCCACAGAAGCTAAATTTGCGTAGTATGGTGTATACGATTTCTATACAAGATTGGGTTTGAAGAAGTAGCCAGCGTTAGTGTATATGTCCCTAGGAGAGTTGCCAATCTCTTACTAGGCGCGTCTTCCCGGGTGGCGGATGGGAAGGGGGTCTTCATGATGTGCAGAGTGAAACTGACCTAGGTCTCCTAGATCAACTTTTCTCTGCACTTCGTGGAAACCTTGGGGATCTTCGGATCCCCCGTGGACCAATTGGATCTGGGTACTGCCCTTAAATAAATTAATTACCATGGGTAAAAGAAGTAAAAAAATAAGTGCAGGGAGTTAATAACCCAGTACCGGCGGCAATCGTTGGTGAGGTCACAAGCCACGTGTCGTCGAGATCAAGCGATTGTGATCCGGCTGTTCTAGGTGTGAATGCCTTGGCACCTGCAGCTGCATTTGTTACAAGTGCATCAATTTAAAACCAAAACGTTGACGAACCGGCTATTCCTTTGGCAAATGAGCATGTCAAGACTGATGAAAATCAGTCTCTAGTTTACAGGACTGTAGTAGAGGGGACGACCTACACGGGACTCTACGCGCTATCCGCGATAGTCTAGAGGAGCAAAGTAAGTAACTCTTCGACCAGTTTGACAGACTGGTACCGGAAGAGCAATGTGGGGATACGCTTCCGGAGGAACTGTTACTGAATCTTACCCTAACTGATGATGAGCTGGACACCACGGTGATCCCAGCCAAGTCTACACAGGGGGATTGCTGTAGTAGTAACGAAGGAAGCGCAGACCCTACTGACCGACCGACTTCCAGTCTGACTACAACAGGTCCTGTGTCGGCACCCGCCGACAAACTTCAGAGGCAATCCGCGACGGAGGCGATGTCCGACGATGGGGAATCTGTTGAGACCCCAGTAACGGACAGCGGCTAAAAGGTTGGGAAGGCCCGAGAAGTAGCCGATGCGAAACATTACAATCGTGATTTTTCGTATCTCCGCAAATTCGTGGTGCGAGACGCGAATTTGATCTCGGAGAAAGAGGTACACCTCATCAAATGTAAGATGAGATACGTAAGGAAGTTCGAAAGAATCTATCCGCACGCTCTCCATCGTGAACTCGAGATGGACAGGATCTCCCTCCCGAATCCTACTACTCGCACAAAAGTGGTAGAATCGGCGAAGCCCACTGTCTCTGACAAAGGTGCTAAGCCGATTTCTTACTAGGATTCAAAGCCGAACCCTAGTAAGAATGCACAGGAAAAGGCAATTGAGAACATCCCGAAGCAAAATGTCACACATAAGGGTGATCAACCTGTGGAGGGCTCTGTCTTAAAGCCCGATTCTGCGCCTAACGACAAAGGTGAAGCTAAAGCGTTGGGTGGATCCACTAGTGATCGAAGTAGGAAGACTGGGGGAGCAAATGTCGCCCCACAGAGCAAATCTCTGAAGCGCATCCGCTCTTCAGAAGGTCCGCAACCCTCACCAAGAAGACGATGACTTCACGTCTGGCATATCCTTCTACCTCATGCGGCTGACGCTGGACAACAAACGGCGGAGAAACAGCTTAGTACAGAGAAGCCATCAACCTTCTCAAGAAAGGCGAACTCCAAAGTCCGTAGCCAAAGACAGCGTAAGCCATATAGCAGACCACCAAGGTAGCCGCTGAAGAAGACTTTCTAGTGGCAATCATTGACAAATCTGATCCTCATGGCAGGATCAGTGATAGTTATTGGTTGCTCTTTGAAGGAGCCCTTCGGTAGGCAATCGTCTGTGGGTCGGACCAAGGGGATCGTCAGTTTTGTAGTGCCTTCATGCAGAAGGGTGCCAAAGTCATCAACTGTCTGAACACGAAATCTAAGGATTTCCTTGTGAAAACCGTTGGTGGCTTTGGCGCGTTCTGGGAAGGAGCCTGTGGTTAAAACACAATTTATTATAAAATATTAATAATTATTTATTTTAATAAAAACCAACTTCGTTAGTTGAAAATATTTTCAAGAATGAAAAAATGTGTATTACATGAATTCAAAATATGTATAAACCAAAATCTAAGGCTACTTAGTTTTAATTAAAACGCAAAGTTAAATGTTCAAATTAAATGTGGGAAAACCCCTACAACACTCCCCCTGAATTTAAACTAAGTTTAGCAAACCAATTATAGATCATATTCAGTATATACTGCTTTAAGTCGGTTTATGGAAACGTTTTGCAATTTGTCTTTTATCTTGACTTGGAAATATTTCGGAGTTCGTTTGCAGATTTCATATGGGTCGGTGTATTTCTGTCCTAAAGATTTTGTTTTTGCATCCACTCTAATCCAAACACGAGTGCATGTTAAGAGGTTCTTGCTTATAAAAGGTTTGGTGTTAGAATGCATTGATGTTGGCGTTGGCTGCAAATTATACATGGATTTCCGAAGAGTGGTTACTAGGGAACTAGGATCTTCAAATTTCGGAACTGTGAAGAAATCTCCTGGTTTTTTGAGGGTTTGACCATAGACCAATTCTGCAACCGATGCTTTCAAATCTTCTTTGTAACTAGCACGTATTCCGAGTAGTACTGGATAGAGTGAAACTGTCCATTGATTGTTTTCAGAGCATCGTAGACCCGCCTTTAATGTCCTGTGGAATCTCTCCAGCAACCCGTTACTTTGTGGGTGATAAGATGTTGAGAAACGATGTTGTATACCGAGTGATGTTGTTAATTGCTTCATAAGACTGGATAAAAATTGGCTTCCTCTATCTGAGATTAAAGCATTCGGACAACCAAATCTACATATCCATCCGTTCCAAAATGTTTTGCAAATTGTTTCTGCCCTAATATCAGGGATCGGAAATGCTTCTGGCCATCGAGTAAAACGATCCATACACGTTAACAAGTATGTATTACCCTCAGATTGTGGTAATGGTCCAACTATGTCTATGTGTACCTCTGAAAAACGGCTACTTTGAATTGGAATATTCATAGGTGGACTCGAAGTATGTCTATCAATTTTATTACGTTGACATGGTAAACAGCTTCGAACCATATTGCCAACATCCTTATTCATGGATGGCCAAAAAAATCGTTGCGATATCATCTTTCTCGTTGTCCGAATACCACCATGAGATAAATTATGTACTGCATTGAAGACATCTTTTCTAAAAGTAGATGGAATATAAGGTCGTATAGTTCCTTGAGAAACATCACAATATATTTGATAATTCCCCAATGGAATTTAGCAACTTAATTGAATAAGGTCCATCCTTATTAATTAATTTCTATGTCTTGCTGCTGTTGTTGACCCAATTTGCTATAATCTATTCCTTTCGTACTGATTTCTTCTATTCTTGAAAGAGAATCAGCTACTATATTCTCTTTCCCAGCGATGTGGTTAATATCAGTGGAAAACTGCGCTATATAATCCAGATGGCGGCATTGCCGAGGTGAGGCCTTTTGATGGAATGCGTAAATGAGAGGCTTATGATCCGTGAATATTTTAAAATGCCTTCCCTCAAGTAAATGTCGAAAGTACGTAATAGCGGAATATATGACTAATAATTCTCGATCATAAGTACTATACTTCTTCTGGGCGTCATTTAGGTTTTTAGAGAAAAATCCCAATGGTTGTCATGAACCGTTTACATTTTGTTCAAGCACAGCACCCATTCAAAAAGAACTCGCATCGGCTTTAAGGCCCATTGTTGCGTTTGGCAAAGGAAAAGACAAAGTAGTTGCATCAGCTAACTCCTGTTTACATTTAATGAAGGCTTCCCGGGTTTCATTAGTCCATGGAACTGGACGCATATCCTTCTTTTTTGCACCGATCAATAAACTATTCAGAGGTGCCTGTGTTTCGGCTCCTTTTGGTAAAAACTTCCGATAAAAATTGATTAGTGCCAAAAATTGACAAAGTGAATGGATTGTTTCTGGTTGATTGTAACTCAGAACTGCTTCAACCTTTTTCTTCATTGAACTGACGCCTTTATATGATATGGTATGGCCTAAAAAATCAATTTCGTTCACACCAAGTTCACACTTACCGACATTTATAATAATGCCGTACTTCTTAAAACGATCCAATAGCTGCTTAATATGTTCCAAATGTTCTTCTTCAGATTTGGAGAAAACAAGGATATCATCCAGATATACTACGACGAAATCAACTTCATCCATAAAACGCTGAAAAGTCTGCGCCGTGTTGCATAACCCGAATGGCATTCTTAAGAATTCGAACAGACCAAACGGAGTTATGACAGCAGTTTTTGGAATGTCCGCTTCATTTACTGGTATCTGGTAATAAGCTTTCAGCAAGTAAAATTTTGAAAATACAGTGGAACCAGATAATAACATGGAAAAATCGTTAAGGTATGGTATAGGGTAACTATCTGGGACAGTTATTTTGTTGAGTGCCCTATAGTCCCCACAAGGACGCCAAGAACCATCAGATTTGCGCACCATATGTAAAGGATTGGACCAATTACTATTACTGGGACGAATAATACCTTTTTCCATAAGATACTGAAACTCAACCTTTGCAGCAAGTTATTTCTCAGGATCTAATCTTCGGGGCCTTGCCTTAACTGGGTTTCCGTTAGTAGTAATTTGATGTAACACTCGGTGTTGGACATCTATTTTTTAAGGTTATGCGAAAGTAATTCAGGATATTGTTTTACAATTTCGTGATATTTGCTTTCATCCGTAACCATTTTTATTTGAATATTAGAGCAACCCGAGCTAGATAGTGGTGAATTCAAAAAAGTGTTCCCATCGACTAAGCATTTTCTTTGAAGATCTGGCAATAAATGAAAGAATTTTAAAAAATCGGCACCAATGATTGGTTTGGGTACATCGGCCAAAATGAATACCCATTTAAATTCTCTTCTTAAACCCAAATCGAGAACAATAAGTTTCTCACCAAACGTTGTCAGCATATAAAACTAGCTTTGAAGGGT